ATGTATTGATTAACAGTAGTGATGGAAATGTAAAAGTGGGAAACAAAGAAGGATCCATAGTTAGGAAATACATCCTTGGTGATATAAAATGATGCTGGACATTGCATGTTGCAAAATTTTTACAAGTCAAATGACGTCTTCATTGTAAATACTTTTTAAAACAACATGAAAGACAGTTATACACATAGACTTCACCATATGGAATACATAGAAATTGAATTGACTCATCTGTGGAAACAGAAAAAAAAAACAAAAAACTATGGTCAGACTTTAGAACCGACCAACAACTGCTAATATACAAGTTCAGGCTGAAGCTGGAAAAGTTAAAAGAACTCCACTGTAACCAAAAAATGATCTTGAGCATATCCCACCTACATTTAGAGATCATCTCAAGAACAGACTTGATGAATTAGACACTAGGGACCAAAAATTAGAAGACTTATTGGATAATATGAAGAACATCATACAGGAAAAAAGAAAAAGGTTATTAAGAAGACAAGGAAAAAAGAAAACACCAAAATGGATGACAGAAGAGATTCTGAAACATGCTCTGCAGTGAACACAAAGTCAAATATAAATATTATAAATGTGCAAAGATTTGTAGTTAGAAACTCAAGGGGAAGAAGACATTCAGCATTTCTCAAGCTGAAAGAGCTGAAGAAAAAAAATCAAGCCTTGACTATAAAAATGGAAGGATTCTTTGGGCAAAATATCAAATCATGCAGAAAGAATCAAAAGAAAATGGATGGAAAACACATATCACTCTAACAAAAAGAAATGGTCGATGTTTAACCATTTCAAGAGGTAGCATAAGATCAAGAGCGAGTGGTCTAATAAGAAATCTAATGTGCACTGAAGACATTAGCAAAGAACAAGTCTCTGGGAATTGATGGAATACAAATTCAAATGTTTCAACACACTGATGCAACACTGGAGGCACTTACTTATCAAGAGAAATGTAGAAGACAGTTACCTGGCAAACTTATTTGAAGAGATTCATATTTGTGCCCACTTTATAGAGAGGTGACCCAAAAGAATGTGGAAATCATTGGACAATATCATTTATATGAAGTGCATGTAGCATTTTGGTAAAGATTATTCAAAAACAATTGCAACACTGCATTGACAAGGAAATGTCAGAGGTCCAAGTCAGATTCAGATGAGAATATGGATATCATTGCTAACATCATTGGGTATGGCTGAAAGCAAAGAATACCAGAAAAAAAAAAAAAATGTTTACTTGTGCCTAATAGACTATGAAAAGGTTCTCAAATGTGTGAATCATCATAAGCTATGAACAATACTTCAGAGAATGAGTATTCTGGAACACTGAATCATGCTCATGAGGAACCTGTACATATGCAGTTTTTGAACAGAACAAGGAGATGTTGGATAGCTGAAAATTAGCAAAAGTGTATGCCAGGGTTGTGTTGTTTCACCATACCTACTAAATGTGTATGCTGAGAAAATAGTCTGAGAATCTGGATTGTATGAAGAAGAATGTGGCATCAGGATTGAAGGATGATTCATTAAGAACATGTGATATGCAGATGATGCAATCTTTTTTAGTGAAAGTGAAGAGGACTCTAGAACACTGTGGGTTAATGTACTGGAGTTCAAGGTCGGCTTGAATCTCAATGTCAGAAGTTCAAGTTCACCACCAGCTGCTCCTAGGAAACCCTATACAGGGTCACTATAAGTCAGAACCAACTCAACGGCACTTAAAAACAACAAATGACTGTGCAAAGGCATCCGACCCTGTGAATCATGACAAGCTATAGACAACACTTCTGAGAATGAGTGTTCCAGAACATTGAATTGTGCTCATGATGGACCTGTACATATGCAGTAGTTTGAACAGAACAGGGAGACACTGAATAGTTTAAAATCAGGAAAGGCATGTGACAGGGTTGCATTCTTTCATCATATTTATTAAATGTGTATGCTGGGAAAATAATTTGAGAAGATGAATTATATGAAGAAGAATGTGGCATCAGGATTGGAGGAAGACTCAGTAACAATCTGTGATATGCAGATGATCCAGTCTTACTGGGTGAAAGTGAAGAGTACTTAAAGTATTTACTGATGAAGATCAAAGACCACAGCCTTCGGTATGGGTTCACCTCGCTATAAATAAAACACAAATCCTTAGAACTGGGCCAATAAATAACATCAGATACATGGATAAAATATTAAAGTCGCCAAAGACTGAATTTTGCTTTGATCATCATCAACACTCATGGAAGCAGCAGTCAAGAAATCAAGCAATGTACAGCATAAATTAAATCTGCTGGGAAATACCCCTTTAAAGTGTTCAGGAGCAAAGCTATCAATTTAAGGATTAAGGTGTGCCTGACTCAAGCCATGCTGTTTTCAATAGCCTCATATGCATGTGAAAGTTTGACACTGAATAACAAAGACCTTAGAATAACCGATGCTTTGAGTTACAGTGTTGAAGAATATTAAAGTTTCTGTGGACTTCCAGAAGGTAAAAGCAAATCTGTGTTGGAAGACGTACAGTCTGAATGCTTCTTTGAAGCCAAGATGGCCAGTCTTAATCTCTCATACTTTGGACATATTATCATTAGGGACCAGTCCCTGGAGAAGGACATCATGCTTGGTAACATGGAGGGACAGCAAAAATGAGCGAGAACCACAAGATGGATTGTCACAATGGCAGCAGCAATGGGCTCAAGTGTAGCAGCCATGGTGAGGATGGCACAAGGCTAGGCGGTGTTTCGTTTTATCATACATAGAGTCTCCATGAGTCAGAAATGACTCAGTGGCATTTAACAATAACAACAACAATCTATACCCATAGAAGCATCAGTCAAGAAATTAAAAGATGTATTGCATTGGGCAAATCTACAAAAGATCTTTTTAAAGTGGTAAAACAAAGATTTTATATTGAAGAATAAGATGTGCCTGGCTAAAGCCAAGGTATGTATTTTCAGTTGCCTCACATATATGAATCGGGCTGCGAACCTTAAGGTCAGCGGTTCGAAACTACCAGCCGCTCCACGGGAGAAAGATGAGGCTTTCTACTCCCGTAAAGATTTACACCCTCGGAAACCCTGTACAGGGTCGCTATGGGTTGGACCCGACTCGATGGCACTTAACAACAACAACAACAACACATATATGTGAAAGCTGGACAATGAGTAAAGAAAACTGAAGATGAATTGATATATTTGAATTATAATATTGGTAAAGAATGTTAGGAGTCTTGTTGTGGCACTGTAGGATAAGCACTGAACCGCAAGGGTGCAATTGCAAGATCATTGATTTAAACTCATTAGCAGTTCCTCAGAAACCCCATACAAGTTAACTATGAGTCAGGAGCGACTGAGCAGCAATTAACAACAACTACAGAGAATGTTAAATCTACCATGGACTGCCAGAAGAACAACTATATCTGTCTTGAAAGAAGTAGAGGAAGAATTCAATGAAATGGATTATGATCAGTAGAACAATGAGCTCAAACCTAGGTAGGTTTTTGAAGATGGCACAGTACCTGGCAGTGTTTCGTTCTGTTATGAGTTGCTATGAGTTGGAATTGACTAGATGATACCTAACAACAGCAACAATTATGCAATTCAAACTAGAGAATGTTGATATAAAAACTGTAAAATTCTGATGGCATGAAAATTTCCAAATTTTTTTCCAGTATTATGGTTTTGGTGAAAGTTTACTAAACAAATTAATTTTCCTTTTAACAATTCCTATTTTGACATTTATTTCCATTCCCATAATGGAACAGCACATATCCTGCTTCCTGTATTTCCCATTTCCATTTATCCTTCTTTCCTCTCCCTTTCTGTTTTATGAACTCTATCTCTGGAGTAATGCTGACCTTCTAATCTTGTATGATTGTTCGTGCTATATTTTATTACTTTTTGAAGGAATAAAATCATATTGAAATATTATATATAACTTCAGGATTTTCATGATCATTTCAATTTCAGAAGGAAGCAAAATAGGCATGATAATAGATAAAATAAAATAAAATATTTTATGCTGATGAACTTACTGAATTTTTTATTGTTTATTTCTTTGATTGTCTAGGTACATTTATAAAAAATATTTGCAACATAATATTTTATTTTGATTGCTTTTATTTCTCAAATATGCTCTGCTTTGTATGAATTAATTTTAAGAATAGATTGTGTTTGGCCTTTTCTTAAGGAATTGTTGATACAGTAAAAGCATATTGTTGTTGTTATTATTAAATCATATTAATTTTTATATCTACAGATACTCATTTAAAAGAACTTCCAACCCTTCTCCACTGTACAGCAAAATTTGGCTTAAAGAACTTGGCTATTCATTTGCTTCAATGTGTGGGAGCAAGGTGGGCATTTAAAATGAAAAATATGGAGGGGTTAGATCCAATACACATTGCTGAGCGACATCGACATGAAGAGCTGAAGAAAATATTTGAAGACTTTTCAGTAAGTTTATTTTTACATTTTATCCCTACAACAGTTTTGTGTAAAGTATCTATGTGTACGTGTGTGTACACGTATTACTCATTTGAAAATGATGTTACTGTGTGACTAATAACTAATATTTGTTGGTACTGAGTATTTTTGGTTTTCACTGCCTTGGAATGCATTTTGTAAGGTTAGTCAACTAGTTTTAGTTCAGCAGTCAATCATCTTTGATACCATACTCCTACCCCTAAGTATTCATCTTTGAAACCTATCTTGTCTTTCTCACTTGTTGTGAAGTACTGTCGAGTCTGTTCTGACCCATAGTGACCTTGTATAGGGTTTCTGAGGAGCAGCTGGTGAGCTTGAACAACCAATCTTACAGTTCAAATGGCTTTGCAGTCTGACACATTAACCCATAATGCCATACCAGGACTCCAACTTAAATATTTATATAAAAAACAACACAAAATGAATGCATTACCATGGAGTCAATTTTGACTTACAACACCCCTGTAAGAATAAAACCACCCCATAGGATTTCCAAGATTGTAGAAGCAGATTGCCACATCGTTTGTTTCATGGAGTTACTGGTAGGTTCGAACAGCTAACATTTCAGTTTACATTCACAGCTGAGCACTTAACCACTGCCATACCAGGCCAGGGTTCCTTCTGTATAGCCCATTGATATTGGAAAGTACATGGTAAAAAGAGAATAAAATCTGCATACCTTTACTCTTTTGTTCATCTTTTATGCTGTTGTTGTTGTTAAGTGCCTTTGAGTAGGTTCTGTCCCTTAGCAACCCAGTACAGGGTTTCCAAGGAGCAGCTGGTAAGTTTGAACTGCCAACCTTGTGGTTAAAACTGAATTTGTGGTAGAGTGCTTATCCTACAGTGCCACACCAAGATATCAATATCTAGATATGTATGACAATATTAAACACATGAAAACAAATAATTATCAGGCTGAAGGAATACATTTTGTCATTCAGAAAGCCTGCCCAATAAAATGTTAGCTCATGCTGCTTAAATTTGTTCGCTTACATGATGTCTTCTCTCTTCCGGTTAAGTCTCAGTTCCTTACATAGGTTGAAACCCAAAATTACAGAAAGTCTTTTAAAGGATGTTAGTTTTGTGAGCGTGCAACCAAGTAGGATTTTATGAAGAAGGGGCATTATCTTAATATGTAAAGTCTGATTTCCAGACTTACATTTAGGAAAGCAGTTACTCTCTGTACTAAAGGTATGCACAGTTTACTCCAGAAAGTAAATTGTATTGCTGATGACTCTTAGAAAAATATAATAGGGCACTCATTCTATGAGTAAATACGTCAAATTTGTCTTTGGGTTCTAATAACAGAAGCCATTTTATTGCGAAGTAAGTTTATTTTGAATATTGGGATGATATAAATATATGTTTTTTGGGGGTTTTTCTTTAACATTTATGCTGGATAAAGTTAATCTTATATTGGATTTTTAAAAATCATCACTATTTGCTGTCTTCAAAGAGTAAAATGACAATGGAGAAAGTTACATTGACATAAGGGACAAAATAATTATCAGAAGCCTATTGATATCATCTATCTGGAATAACAATAAAGTGTCTTTGGCTTGTATTTAAAATAAATACAAAGCAAAAAGATTTGTAATAACATTTTAAAACTACCAATTTTAGCCTATGGAATTAAAATCAGACATAAGAATTATTTTTATTTCTAAAAAGATTTTAGATAGGAATTCTCATATATATTAAAGTTTAATCCTCTTTTTTCTGATAAATGCATTTACTTTTATAATTATCTATAGTATTTAGTCATTGACCACTGCAACATAGCATCTATTCCTGGTAAGTAAATGAATCCACAGAGCCTTGGACATGTTCGCATAATATGTTTGCTAAATACAATCTGGGTATTTGTTTCCAACTCTCGTCATCCATATGCTCAAATTCCTAGTGTGGGCAAACTTTGGACTGCAAACCACCAGGCATTAGTTGAAAATCCTATACAGAGTTGCTATAAGCCGGAACCAACTCACAGCACTTAACAATACAAACAGTGGACTTAAATTAAAAATTTCCCTATAAATCTCAGCATCCAGAAATACTTTGTAAAATAAATATTAATTTGCAGAATATTGCTTCCATTTCTTGCTCTCCAGTGAGGACCCAGGTTTTTGACAAGAACAATCCCATGCAAACTTCATGAGCTCCATAAATAATAAGTAATGATGACAGTAGATATGAAAATAAATACAAGGATAGGAGTTGCTGTTGATACATTAGGGAAATATTTTTTCAGGGTATTTATACTTCTGCTTCTGTAGTAATAACATGGGTAGAAGTTGATTACTAACATTGCTTGTAACTGTCTCTTCAATCTTTTATAGCAACAGCACTGGTACTCTGCAGTTATATCTGAAAACTCTTCTATAACATTTATTAAATTATTTTATGCATTCAATCTGTTTATGAGTTCTTATAATTTGCCAGAATATCTATAGTAGATATACCATTACAGGTAACATTCACAAATTATTTTGTGAACACTCTGATGTCAGCAAGGATGTAATTAACTGTGGACAGCAGCTCTATGAGTGAATTTAGTGACTATGGATAATTAAGGTGCCATCATTTTGCAAGCGTTCAAAGGTCATTTTGTAAATGTGTGGTTAAAAGAATGGTGATATGCATGTTTGGACAATTTGTGGCACACATTGAAAAGTGTGTATGCTGTGTTGGCTTATTCTAATTATCAATTTAATTTATACAAATCTAGACATCATATCTTCTTCAGTGAAACTATGACAGATAATTCCATGATTACATTATAGATTCTGAATTGTGGATATTGTTGTTAGCTGTCATAGAGTAGACTCTGACTCATGGAAACCTTATGTATGACAGAACCAAATTTTCTTCAGTACTATATAATCTTCATGCTCTCTGGTAAATTTGAGTTCATATTTATGGCTATTGTCTCAACCCATCTCCTTGTGGATTTCCTTCATTTTTGTTAATCCTCTACTTTACCCTTTTCTAGTGATTTATCATCATGTATATTTTTATGACATATATATATATATATGTGTTTAATGTCATAATCACATTATCTAATATTCCTCCATGTGTTCAAATTTGCATTAACTATTACTTCAAAGTGTTCAATGGAGAAGGCAATCTTTCATGCTTGAAGTTTGCAATCTGCCAATGGGCCGTACTTCTTTCTCTATGGAGAAAATACCAATTTTAAATTCCAACTTTTTTTGCTTCCAGTTTATTTTTTGATTTATTCAATTCCTCCTAAGTCCCCATTAGTGAAACATTGTTCATTTTAGTGTAACAGGGAGTTATTATACATTGAATTTGGGTATTAATAATACAATGAATTTGGACATTAATGAATAAAGTGAATAGAAGGAAAAAGTCAATCACAATTAAGAAAAATGCAAAAACAGAAAAAGAAAGCATTAACAATCCTTTATAACTATCAAGTGTCATTCATCTCCTGTTGTCAGCTATTCAAAATAGAAGATATATCTTCTCAAGTCACATTCTTTGTACTCATGAGATATTTCCTTTGAGAGGAGTGATATTTAGTTTAATTACTATGAATTTAATCATTTAGATAGAATCTACTTATAGAACTTCTTCATAATAAATGAATAGCTTTCATGCTATGATGAAGTTATATAATTAACATCTGTATTTCATGTATGTTTTATAGGTGTTTATTAGATAATAATACCATATATATCTGATGCTAGATAATAATACCGTGTATTAATATAACCCATAATTTAATAAGTACATTATATTTCAAACTGCTACTTAAGAATCTCCCTCATTCATCCTTATAAGTTTAAAACAGTTCACAAAATGGTTAAAGGTAGTTCCCAACTTATGACAGGGTTTTGTTCCAGTGAATCTATCATGTTATTTCTGATGTAAGTCAGCCACTTTATTTAAAATCTTATTTGTTATGTTTTTATTATTATTGCTTTGTCATGACTATTTTTGTTTGTTTTGAGTGATTGGGAATGTTCCATATAATATTAAGCACATACTCTAACATAGACAATGTTATTGTTATCAGGTACCACTGAATCAGTTCTGACTCATAGAGACCTCATGTACAACTGAAAGAATGACTGCCCAATTCTACACCATCCTTAAAATTGTGTTGGGGCACATTATTGCTGACAGTGCTTCGGTCCATCTTGTTGGAGGGCTTTCTCTTTTCTCCTTTTATTGGCCTTTTATTTTACCAAGCATGATGTTCTTCTCCAGGGACTGGTTCCTCCTGATAACGTGTCTGAAGTACATGAGACAAATTACCTTAATGCAGTCTTCTAAAGAGAGTTCTGACTGCATTTCTTCTAAGAAAGATTTGTTTGTTATTCCATTGTACTTTTAATAGTCTCCTTCAGCACCCTAATTCAAATGCATGTGCTCGATGGTCTTTCTTATTCATTATCCTGCATGTCCACTGACAATAGGTCTACAAGGAAGATCACTTAATACCGCAGGTCTTAGTCAAATTTATAAACCAACCACAAAAGCTAATGATGATGAAATTGCAGAATTCTACCAAATTCTTCAGTCTGAAGTTGAACAAACACACAATCAAGATGTATTGATAATTATTGATTGTTGGAATGCAAAAGTTGGAAACAAAACGGAAGGATCAATAGTTGGAGATTTTGCTTTGGTGATAGAAACAATGCTGGAGATTATATAACATCATTTTTTCAAAACCAATGACTTCTTTATGGCAATTGCTTTTTTTAAACAACATAAAAGATGACTATACATATACACCTCCCCACATGCCATACACAGAAATAAAATCTATGACATCTGTGGGAAGAGACTGTGGAAAAGCTTCATATCGTCATCCAAAATAAGCCAGGGGCAAACTTTGAAACAGATCATCAATTGCTCATATGCAAGTTCAGGCTGAAGCTGAAGAAAATTAAAACAAGTCCATAAGAGCTGAAATTTGACTTTTAAAATATCCCATCTGAA